GGGTCAATGATCTTGTCAGCCATCCGGGTCAGCCATTGATGCAAAACCATTTGCGATCAAATGGAAGTTGACATTATAAGTGTTATTGGTCAGTATTGTCGGATGTTATCGTCCCCTTTCACCTTTGGTAGTACCATAAGCACCCCATAGTTCAATCTTTTAATATCAATTAGCCCTATGATGAAATCGACAGTCACCCAGGTGATTTGAGGACCCACCTTCACCCAAAATCTTAGGTAGAAACTCACCGGAAACCCATCTGGTCCCTGTTCAGTATTCACCCATATAGCCTTTAAACTGGAGGTATTCTCTGTCGGAGAGAAGGGAAAAGTCAGTGCCTAGTTCACCTTTGGTAGCAGCAACTTGTGTGGTTCAGCAGCAACTCATCATGTGCGTCCACATCTGTACTCAGCCACGCATGTCAGGTACATCCATGCTCAAAGAGACAATATCGGGCTAGTTGTTTTGTTCCCGGTGATTCCTAGTCCTAGTTCAACTACACAACAATTTAGCACTGTCATTTGAGCATCACACACATTGGGCGAAATTCATTTTGGGCCATGATGCTACCTATTTGTAGGCTCACACCACCCACATTTTCAGAGATGCGTGTAAGCTATGGCCCACTTAGATGTATAGCAGTATTTTTGTATCTTTTTAATTGATCAAATCAGTGTCAGTTTGATGGGCCCAAACGACTACTTTTTTTGAGAAAAGATGCGTATTTAGCTTTCTTCTCTCTCTTCATCGCAAACAAATTCATTGATTTTATTTCATCATAGACAATTTAATAAATCACTCCTATCTTTTAAACTATAAATTTTTTTTGAAACTTTTTATATATTTGGACTTCTGGCGTCAAGCCCTTTAGAACTAGACCAATTTTTGATACATTTCGATCACATTTCAATTTTGACGTTTCACATTTCGCATGTGAAAAAAAAATTATTTCACTAGAAAAATATGAAACAAACCTATTTCACTACAAATATGTGAAAACAACCCATTTCACAGAAAAGTACTTAACCCAAATATGAAACTGAAAAGTCAATTTGTGAAACTGATTTATTTGGAAACATGTAATAGTTTAATTCAAAATAGTGAAATGTGTTAGTCCAAAAATATGCAATTGAAATAGATGCGATTTTTGTAAAAATAAGCCAGTGAAAAGTGTAATGTACCTTCTGAAAGTGACAAAAATGTTAAATTGAAATGTCAACTTGTGAAATTGAAAATTTTGAAATGTGTAATGGTTTATTTCGAAAGAGTGAAATAGGTTATTTCAGTAATGTGAAATTGAAATAGATGTGATTTTTGTGAAACAAGCCAGTGGGATGTGAAATGTAGGTTCTGAAAGTGAAAAATAATATGAAATAAAATGCCAACTAGTGAAACCGATTATTTCCAAATGTGAAATGGTTTATTTTAAAATAGTGAAATATGTTCTTTCAAAAATGTGCAATTTAAATAGATATGATTTATATGAGACAAGCCAGTGAAAAGTGAAATGTAAGTTTTGAAAATGAAAAACAACATGAAACTGAAATGTCAACTTGTGAAACTCTGAAAGAATTTTATTCATAAGATTTGAAGTGGGCAAAATATGTGAAATGTGTTTCATGAATTTTAAACTCATTTAAAATGTATCCGAAATTGATCTTGTTTTAAAGGTCTTTGTGACATGAGTTCAAATATACAAAAAGGTTTAAAATCGGAATATTTGTTTAAAAGATATGAACGATTTAAGTTAGGAAAGATAAAATAATTAAGTGGGCGCATTTGTTTGGGAGAGAGGAAAAAGAGAATGGCAGCGCATACATGCTAATTAATACTAACTGCGTAGAGATGCATGTTGGTGCCGGGATAAAATTCTTGGTGGCACACCATGTTGGTGATTCATATCCATTGATCTCCATATCGCCGGCATCTATGTTTTTGATACGTACGTGCAGTGCAACCAAATATCTGCCATCCACTGAATGACGGCATATGCCCTACCTAGTAATCAGTCTGCTCGGAAAAGAAAACACAACCCCCACTCCCTCCCCCTCCTCATCCGACCGAATGAAGCGCAGACGTGAGGCGTTCGACTTCAACGTGAGGAAGGAGGTCTTCGCCGTCGGCAAGATGTGCGGCGAAGAAAGGAATTTGCTTCGCAAGCGATTCCGGGCGGAGCTCGTCGCTGTCCGTGGCCTGCTCGAGAAGGCGGATCGGTTCTTGGCCCCCGGAGCCGCCGAGGGCCGCCGCGGTGGTGCGGCGCCTTCTTCCTTGTTCGGCCTGGCGGCTCTGCCCGGCAAGAAAGAAGGGCGACCCTTGCTGGGCGCCGAACCACCATCCGATGTGTCGATGAAGGCTGACGACGGCAAGAGGAGGATGACAACTCCTCTGGCGGAGCACAAAGAGGCGCCCAAGATGACCTCGGCGGAGCGCCAACAGCTAGCCTTCAGCCTGGTGGCGCTAGCGGCAGAACTGTCCGGCCCCGCCGTCGAGCTCTTGCCGAAGCAGAACAATGGCGGCCGACGCGAGATCGAGGTAAACGTGTGCTCCATGGAAGACGCGGCCCTGTTCGAGCTAAAGATGCACGTGGACAAGCTCGTCAAAACGAGGGATCCGTCGCTGCCGCCGCAAGATGGCAGCAAGATCGTTGAGCATGAAGACGCAGCCCTGTTCGAGCTAAAGGTGCACGTAGACAAGCTCGTTAAAACGAGGGATCCGTCGCTACCCCCTCAAGATGACGGCAAGATGGTTGAGGATGAAGACGAAAATGGCAGGCGCGTCGATATCTGCCCCGGCGTGTCTCCCGTGGTGACCACCCCGTCGCCACTCCAACTTGAAATTCTTGAATACGCGGCCGTCTTCAATGCAACCGGACTAGTCGACAAGATGCTGTCACCGCTGCCGCAGAAATACCTGGCGCTCGCTGAAAAGAGGGAGAAGGAGTGCATCGCCGAGAAGGAGGATGATGAGGAGTACGTTGACATCTGCGGCGACGCCTCGCCGGTGGTGTTCCAGAATCTCATTGGTGCAATCAGCCACAACCCAAGCATTATCTTAAGCAGCGATTCTGATTCTGATTCAGACGCAGACATCGGGTCCGACAGTGATTCCAGTGACTCTGGTTCGGTCTCCGACAACCACTGCGATGAGAAGGGGGGCACTCTAGCTCCGCCAGTTCTTCCTAAGGTTAGCAGCTCAGCCCCAGCAGTTCTTTCCAAAGTGATTAACGATTCTGCACCACCATCGGAGCCAACACTGGAGGTGGTACAGAATGGAGAACTGAAGAAGCTTGACAATCCAGCTCCAGCAATTCTTCCCAAGGTGAATGGCCATTCTGCCGGCCGTCCATCGGAGCCGGCACCGGTGATACAGAATGCAGAACCAGAGCACGTTAGCATTCTAGCTCCATCAGCTCTATGCAAAATAGTTGACGATTCTGCTGCCCAACCATCAGAGCCGGCACTGGAGGTGGTACCTTTACAGAGTGGGGAACCAGCAGGCAAGCATAGTAGCCCAGCTCCGGTACTTCTTCCCAAGGTGAACGGTGATTCTGCTGGCCAGGCACCGGTGCTACAGAATGCTGAACCAGAGAAGGTAAGCAGCCCGTCTCCGGCAGTCCTTTACAAAGTGGTTGATGGTTCTGCTCCGTCACTGGAGGCTGGACCGAAGGTGGTACAGAATGGTTTTGAAACAGAGAAGCTTGACAGTCCAACTCCAACACCATCAGTTAATCTTTCTAATGTCAATGATGGTTCTTCCCTGCCATCATCGAAGCCTACATCGGAGATGGTGCAGAATGCAGAACCAGAAAAGCTCCCCGACAAGCCTCCGGCGAGGCCGATGAGCGAGCTGATCGCCGCAGCGTTGGAAAAGCGGCGGCGGGAGGAGAGGTCCCAGGCGAGGGAGAAAGCCCGTCAGGATCTGGTGGAGACGGAGAGGTCGGCCATGACCAGCCACAGGGTACACCCAGCGGACATGGAGCGGCTTGGCATCCTTGACATCGAGCACATGGTGACCCAACACAGACGGCCTGGTGTTCCTCCCAGTCTGTTGCAGCAGCTTGGGCTCTTTCTGAGGGCTGATGAAGACGACTGTGGAGAGCAGCAGCAGCCCATCTCCGATCCCGGCGTTCAAGACCTGGAGGAAGGGGAGATTCTACCGTCGTAGGGTTGTGGGCTTGTGGGTTCTGGCCCGCTGCTAGACATGCCGCATGAAGATTTTATTTTGGGGCAATACTATCAAAACAATTGAGGTCTGTTTTTTTTTTTTGACAAATTAATCGAGGTCTGTTTTAACTAACACATGCAACAGCCGTTGGCTAGCAAACCATGACATGGAGCATTGCCAAGTTGAACATCCGTTTTATAAGCAATTCTCAGTGACAAACGTTCTTTACAAAAATATTCCAGCTTCTCGTTTTCAAGTATAGTTGGATTTACTTTCACATACGGCTGGATGATATCTAAGGTTATGAATTAGCACAACTAGGCTGTTGAAAAAACATGATTTAAAATCGCAGGTGTGATGGACCTGTTGCGGCATGTCCAAAATCACACGATAGCAGCGCGAAATCCCACAAAATTAGTGCTAAAACTCATGATTTATGTTAAGGGCCAAATTGCAGGCGATTTAAAGCTTTGTGGAAAACAACATAATGTATAGTACAAGTTTAGCTAAGCACTTACAATCTGGACACCAAAGTTTATGATAAAACAGTGTTTCCTCTATCGACAAAGAGATAGGGCGAAGGAAACAGTGGGATCAAGAAGCCACTGGATATGGAGAGACTGGCATTTTTTGCATTAGAGAAATATATATTAAAAAAACCGCGACACTCATTTCTGAACCGTTTGTTAGCTTGGAACCACAAGTGAAATCTGAAACTGTGTCTAATGTCAGGTTGTTTGTCAAGTGTATTTCCGTTGGGTACTAGGCTAATATGACCATTGCTAAGAGTTTTTTTTGCACTTAGCAACCAACTCTTTGGCGATTACCTTTCTTTGTCGAGTTCCTTTGTTTCTGCACTCGGCAAACAATTCATTGTCGATTTTTTTTCTGCATTTGGCAAACACTTAGTATTATTTTTGATGTTTCTTTTTATTTTTCTTCTCCTTTCCATTTTTATTTCCTGTTGTACATTATTTGTTTTCCTTTTCCCTTTTATGACCTTAATTCCTACTATATGTTTTTTCATTTCATTTTCTTTCCCCCTCTCGTGATTAATTTCAGATGGTGAGATGATTTTATTTTTATAAACTTAGTACCGACGCAACATGCTCGCAACATGCACAAACACTCAACCCATGAACCCACAAGCCCACACCCTATCTATATGAGCACCTATGAGAGTCTGAGGAGACAAATCTTGAGATAACCAATATGCATCATGATTATGGACACCTTGTTTTTAATTATGACTTCCTAGGAAACATTTCTATAGGATTCAATTCACTAGATTCACCAAATTGGTGGTGTCAGATCAATCATGTTTTCCCTACAATTGATGCTAAGCAATGCAAGTGAACTTCTTAAATTAAATATGTTATTGTTCCTCTTGACAATCTCGTGGCCTCGTCAAAGGTATTCTACCCATGTAGTTTCCCGCGAAGCAATTTTTTATTCACGTTGGGGATTCATTTTTATTATTCATGGAATCATGATGAAGCAGACGCTTGCTGTAATCCAATATTACTGGATAATTTGTTCACACTTACATGCTTTCCTCGACTTCGGCAGCGGCGGCGCAGCGACTGCTCTCTTCGACCCCTCCGCACAGCGCCGCCCCTCCCCGCTTCTCCCCCGCTTCGCCGCCATCGGAGGGGACACCGGCGAAGCCTGCGTGGTCCCCAGGGAAGGTGGCGGCGGGGCGTCCTCGTCGTTCTCTCGCAAATCTCGCGGCGGCCGGTGGCGCGTGGCGGTGTTCCGCCGGTGGCCGGCGCCTGCTGCACGTGGGGCGGCGTCCCTCACGGCGGCAGGGTTGCCCCTGAACGGCGCTTGGTGGTGGCCATGTGCACGCGGGTGGGTCGGATCTGGGCTTCCGGTCCGCGTCCTCTTCGTGGCAGCGATTACTGTTGCCCTCGGCCATGAGGCGTGGTCCGGAACGGGCCGAGCACCGGTGGTGCTGGCCAGGACGCACGCTGGCAGCGCCCTACTTCATCTCGCGTCGTCTCGCTAGCCAATGGTGGTGGTCATCTTCGTCGTCGGGGATGGCTGGCCAGAGGCTTGGTGATCGGATCTCGAGATCCATCATCTAGTCCCGGCTGCGAGTTGGGGAGACATGGTTGCCGGTGAAAATCGAGCCGTTGGCAGGCGATGGCGGCGTTCTACGCCGTTACCTTGATGGAGGCACCGTCGTGTAACTACTGTCGACCCACTCGTGCTGCTCTGGAGGAAACCCTAGAATCTGGTGTTCCAGATCGGACGATGGCGGCACTGCGGTGTCGTTTCTCTCTTGGGAGCATCGTTTGTGGAGCAGCGCTGGAAGTCAGAGGCAGGAGGTGGAGCGGCTTCGTCTTGCACGGAGCTTCGGTGGAGATATTAAGTCATGCCTGACCGACAAGTGCTACGCTTTGTCATGCCTGGTCGGCAGGTGCTACGCACGACAGATCTTACAAAAACTTCAAGTTGTGTCGGCTGGTGATACTTGGCAGCATGGTGCTGAGGTGTATCAGTGGCGACCGCGACATGCACAGCTGTTTGCGCGCAGGAAGGAGGTGCCGTTGAGCGTCGTGGTGGAGTCGACGATAGCTAGACTGAGCAAGGTTGATGCATCAGTAGAGTTTTGAAGATGGAGCGGTGGCAGTTGACGGTGGCGGCCTCTCAGAGCACGTCGGACCGGCGAGACCCATGCCCGGCAGGCGTCCTGTATGGGTCCTTAGGTCTTAGATGTTAGGTTTGGCTGCGATGTCTGTATGGTATTAGGCCCAGGCTGCGCCCCTTCATTAACTGGATAGGTGTAGCGACAGTTTGTTGCTTAGACGACGGCTTTAGTCTTACTGTGATATTACTTTGTAAGGTCTTGTGAGAATAATTAATAAAGTATGCATCGCCCAGATATAGAAGCCTGGAGTCATCTTCCTTTTCTAAAATTCCTCAAGCGTCTACTTCTACTTCTATATAGAAGGACACGGTGAATGTCTATTATTGATGATGGAAGCAAAGCGAGGCATGAAGAGGGTGCTTCCATGTATAATTATGGTGTACGCTAACTTCAAAATAATCCAGCCTGGCTGCCGACTCTGCTCGCATCTGCTCCCAGCTCTGCCATGACTTGAGCCAACTGTTGGCTATCATTTACTTGATTTGTTCCCGATGACTCCTAATTCTTGTCCAATATTAGAACTATTGAGTACCAACATTTTAGCATTGCACTTGTCGTCTTCCTGTTTATAGAAAACAATTGTGTTTGTTTAGTTTTGGCTGCTGTTTATCTTTAAATAGAGTGGAGTGACTTTAACAATATATTGTGGACACGTTCAATCCATATGCAAACAAATAAGGCGGTTATATATATGTTGCGCATGGTGCTTTAAGTGTTGTGGTTTGGATAAAGTATGTTGGATTAACGAGGCATCTATGGGTATTGGTTGCCACACCTATCTCCATTCATCATATTGAAGGATCACTAATTAAGGAGTACTCGTTGCAAAGAACACTTCACTTTCTCAGGTCGCAACAAGTGGCGCACATGCAGCGCGCCACTTGTCGCAACCTGAGAGTTTTTCCTTTTTTCGTAGATCCGTTTATTCAAAACGTTTTATCTCTTAAACCGTGCGTCCAAATCTCAAACCGTTTTCACCATTGGATTCCTCTCGTCGAGGTCTTCAAAACTAGATCCCATGTTGATAGGTTTTGACGAACTTTTTTTTCACGAAAAAACCAGACGAAAAAAAACCGGGCGAAAAAATCGAACCGGGAGCACGGTTTTTTTTCCTTTCCAAAAGAGGCACGCCCGTGCCTCTCGCGAAATCACAACCGTGGCTCTCGTGGAAGCAAAACCATGACTCTCGTGGAAGGAAAAAAAACAGAAAACACATTTTTTTCCGTTTTCGAGAGGCACGACCGTGACTCTCGCGAAAGCACAACCGTGCCTCTCGCGGAAGCAAAACCATGACTCTCGTGAAAGAAAAAAAAACAAAAAACACGTATTTTTTTTCCTTTCCGAGAGGCATGGCTGTGACTTTCGCGTAAGCACAACCATGCCTCTCGCGGAAGCAAAACTGTGACTCTCATGAAAGAAAAAAAAACAGAAAACGTGTTTTGTTTTTCCCTTTCCGAGAGGCACGGCCGTGACTCTCGCAAAAGCACAACCGTGCCTCTCGCGGAAGAAAAACCGTGACTCTCGCAAAAGAAAAAAACAGAAAACACGTTTTTTTTCGTTTCCGAAAGGCACGGCCGTGACTCTCACAACCGTGCCTCTCGCGGGAGAAAAACCATGACTTTTGCGAAAGGAAAAAAAGAAAACGCGTTTTTTCACGCAAAATTTTTTTTCCAGAATTTTTTTTTGATCGAAAAGCTAAGAAAGATCGGGGGAAAACCAAAATGTCGAAAAAACCCGGAAAAAAAACCATTTCAAAAGCCGAAAACGCGTGTGGAAAAATAAAAAAACAAAATCCGAAGGAAGCATCCAGAGCGCGACATGTGGCAAATGACTGAGAGCGCCAAGTGGCGCTGATCGTTGCGAGGCTCCCGAAGGAGCGCTCGTTAACTAGTTGCTCCCGCTACTGCCATTTCTTCCCACATGTGATCCATTAATTGATGGCCTCTACATTTTGGATACATTTGTTTTCAGCGTACCCAAATGTGATCCACCAGTTTTTGTTTGGCTATATGGTTTTACTTGTGTGAGGCTTTAAGTTTGTAGTTTTGGTCTCCTTATCTTGTAGATATAGGTTTAAATAAGCTCATTGCTTTCCTCTTCACATAGAGGATAACTAATGGTTAGCTATAATGCATGCCCAATGAAATTGCTTTGGAAGTGGTTGGGTGTAAAATAAAGTTTAGCATGCGAGTGGTGAAAAAGGTTGGTCGGGCTATAGTTTATCACTCCTCACCATGATAGATGTATATGTCAGTACATCATACCTCCTTGAATGCCATGGCTTGATTCAGCTTTAGCTAAGTCCAAAGCAGACATTGTGTTTAAAATGTCCTTGATTACAAATATT